AGGAGGTGTGTTTGCTGAGTTTGTACGAGGAATGACATGGAATCAGAGGGCCCCGGTTCACAGAGGCAGTTGGGTATAGTCAGGAAGACTTGGAGTTCAAATCTGGCCTCAGATACTGGCTGTGTCACCCTGGGCAAGTCATTTTACCTTTGTCTGCCTCAGTTACCCCAACTGTAAAATGGGGATAATGATGATAATAATAATAATAATAATAGTACCTCCCTCTTAGGTTTGTTGTGAGGATCAAATGAGGTAATATGATGTCGCACATAATAGGTACTATATAAATGCTTATTCCCTTCAAATCTCCTCAAATCTCACTTTCTTCTATAACCTTGGGCATATCCATTTCCCTCTGACCCTCAGCTTCCAGCAAAATTGGATTGGAAGAGAAGGCCTTTATGGTCCCTGTCAATCAAAGGTAGTCTCTGATTCTCTCAGGGAAGGAGGAATCGATGTGGGGAATGCCGCTTACCCTGGCATGATCTTGGGTACGTGACTTCCCATTCCCCGGCTTCTATTTGCTCTTCTGTAAAAAGGGTCAGATCAGATGAACGAGGAGGCGCCTGACATCACTAAATTCTTGATTTTAACGTGACGGGGCCTTGGGAAAATCACTTCCCTGTCTAGGTTTCAGCTTTCTCCTGTGTAAAATGGAAGAGACCTAATCATTTTGGTGCCTGCAGCAAATAATACTAAAATGCACCCTCAACTCAACTCTGTAATTCGTGATAAGAAACACAATGAAAAAAGTGATTGAAACAAATTGAGTTGATTGAGAGAAAAAATTCCTTGCTGTGTTCCTGTGTTATGCAGGGCTAGTCACTTAACCTCTGTCTGCCTCAGTTTCTCATCTATAAAATGGCGATAAAAATAGTACCTACCTCCCCGGGTTGTTGGAGGATCAAATGAGATAATAATGCAAAGTGCTTAGCATAGTGCATGGCACACAGAAAATTCTATCTAAATGTTAGTTTTTATTATTATATAGTAAGCAATATAAATATATACTATATCTTATAATATAATATATAATAAGCACTATCTAAATGTTATTATATAGTGAGCAATATAATGTATACTATATCTTATAATATAATATATAACAAGCACTATCTAAATGTTATTATATATTGAGCAATGTAATATATACTATATATTATAATATAATATATAATAAGCACTATATAAATATTATTATATAGTAAGCAATATAAATATATACTACATATTATAATATATAATATTATAAAATTATATAAAATAATTATAATATAATATATAAGTACTATATAAATGTTATTAGATAGTAAGTACTATAAATATATAATATAAATATATAGCAAATACTATAGAAATGTTGTTATTATATAGTAAGTACTATAAATATGTTATAATGTAATATATAAGTACTATATAAATGTTAGTTATAATATAGTAAGCACTAAAATACATAATACATTATGATAGAATATAAATATATAGTAAACACTATAAAAATGTTAGTCATATAGTAAGTGCTATAAATATATAATATGTTATGTAATATATAGTAAGTACTATGTTAGTAGTAGTAGTAAGCAGTATAAATATATATTATAATATATAGTAAGCACTATAAATATGTATTATGCATGATATAATATACAGTATGTAGTAAGCACTATATAATGTTAGTTATATAGTATTATAAATATATAATATATTATAATATATTATAATACATAATAAGTACTATATGTTAGTAATAGTAGTAAGTACTATAAATACATATCATAATGTATAGTAGGCACTATAAATATGTATTATGTATAATATAATATAATACATAGTATGTAGTAAGCACTATGTAACATTAGTTATATACTAAGTACTCTAAATATATAACATATTATAATATATATGTCGTAAGTACTATATGTTAGTAGTAGTAAGTACTATAAATACATATTATAATATATAGCAAACACTATAAACATATTATGTATAATATATGATAATATAATATATAATATGTAGTAAGCACTATATAAATGTTAGCTATTATCATTATTATAGCTAAGAGTGGTTACCAAATTGGGAAGATCTAAGCTCAAACTCTCCTATGATACTAGCTGTGTAACACTGGGTAGCTAACTCCTGGAGACTTAGAAGGCATGCACGGCACCGGACTGCTACTGGGCCCCCAGGGCCAGGGTGCTCAGCTGTCCCAGCTAAGGGGCAGGAACCCCAGGCTTCAGTCCTGGCGGAGTTTTCCTGCTCAAGAGAAGGGTCGAGTTCTTCTTCCTCCTCACTGCCCCCTCACAGCCCGCACTCGTCATCCTGGGGAAGAGCCGTCAGAGCTCAGGTTTGAACCATGGCTGGGCTGTCCCCAAGGGGACCAGCAAGGACCCCTTCTTGATGTACAAAGTAGATCAGGTTTCTAGGTCAGTTCTTTATTCTCATCCACTACAAAAGAGATGTTTAAAACACCCAAGTTTTGTAAGCACGTGTTAACAAAGACGTAAAACAGGAGACAGTGACCTATTTGTCCTGTGCTGCCGTCCGAGGAAGTTGATCCTTTAAGCAGAGGACATCTGGTCCGATTGTGGGTGGGCATTTGTCCTTCCTCCCCTTGGCTCTGCCTTGTCTCCACAACTGCCTGAAAGTCCAAGGCACTGGAGAAGCCAGGCCAGGGCCGGAGTTCATCCTCCGTGCGGTGGTCATTGTATCCTCAGTGCACTTGGCACTGAGTGAGGGACCCAGGAGCTCATGAGGTCTCCTCTCAGGCTGGTAAACCCTCTGTCTCTGGACCACTACTGGCAGAGCCTTGAGGTCTAGACTCTGCTCAGTTCTGAGCCCAGATGCCATGTGGGAGCGGCTGCCAGAGGCACTGGGAAGGAGAACCTCCAGGAGTGGCCCAGAGACAGAGAATTCCATGCCACGTTTCCAAGAGAGAAGTCATCGCTCCCTTCAAAGTCGAGAGAGGAGACAGAGAGAGACAGAGACAGAGACAAAGAGAAACAGAGAGAGAGAAGCAGAGAGAGAAGAGAGAGAAAGAGAGACAGAGAGAAACAGAGAGAGAAGAGAGAGAGACAGAGACAGAGAGAAACAGAGAGAGAGAGAGAGAGAGAGAGGTTCTTCCTGGCAAAGGCTCTCCCTACTCGGTACCATCACAGGACCAAGAACCCCAACCAGAGGATTATGCACTCAGAAGTACAAGTCTTCCAGCACTGAGCTGACCCCAAAGGCAGATACTTACCTGTTGGGTGGCCTTGGGCGAGTCATTTAACCTTGGCTGCCTATATAACCTGTATAGAGCTTGCTTTGTACATATTTGCTTAGATGTTGTCTCCCCTTTAGATTGTAAGCTCCTTGAGGCCAGGGATGGTCTGTTGCCTCTTTTTTTATTCCTAGCACATAGTATAGTACCTGATACATGTTTAATACATGGTACATTAATGTTTATTGAATTAAATTGACTTGCCTTTCACATCTGTAAAATGGGGATAATAAAAGCACCTACCTCCCATGGTTGTTGTGAGAATCAAATGAGATAACAGTTATAAAGTGTTTAGCCCTTATATTACATTATAAAGGGTCGGGCTGGTGGTTAAGTGCTATATAAGTGGTAGTTCTTCCTCCTCATCCTTCCTCTTCTTCATCATCACTGAGGTCAGAGTTAACGAGGGGAGGTAACCCGGCTCATCACCACCACCAGGACGTGGCCCTGTGACATCACAGCCTTCCTCCCCTCGCTCTCCAGACTCTGTTCGTAGGGCCAGAGACTTCGAGTTAGAAGGGCCTCAGGAGACATTCGGTCCCTCACGCTACAGAGCGTAAGCTCCCACACCTCTCTGTGGAAGGAACCTGAACAGTAATTTCACAGATGAGGAAACTGAGGCCAGAAAGGTCAAGAAGTGACTTGTCCAAGTTCCCAAGTCTCCATGAGATCATAGACTTAGCCTGGAAGGAGACTCCAAGGTCATTTCATTCAACCCCTTTGTTTTACAGATAAGGAAACTGTGGCCAGGGAAGTGAAGTTACCTGACCTCCAGTGGCTTCCTCTAAGTCCCAGCTAAAACCACACCTCCTACAGGAAGCCTTCCCCAACCTCCTATTTCTCTGGTGGCCTTCCCTTGTTAATTATTTCCTATTTATCCTGTACAGAGCTTGCTTTGTATACATTTCTTTTTTTTTTTTTTGGCAGTTGGGGTTAAGTGACTTGCCCAGGGTCACACAGCTAGTAAGTGTCAAGTGTTTGGTCCGAAGCCGCATTTGAACTCAGGTCCCCCTGACTTCAGCGCCGGTGGCTTCTTATCTCCACCATTGGACTGTAAGATCCCTGAGGGCAGGGATTGTCTTTTGCCCCTTTTTGTATCCCCAGCCCTCATCACCTGCCCCGCACTTAGGAGGCCCTTAATAAGTGTTTATTGAATTAACTTAAGATCACAGGGGTAGTAAGTATTCCTGTGATCACAGCTTTGGATCTGGACGGGGCCTCAGGGGTCCTTTAACTCAAGGGCTTCCTTTTACAAATGAGGAAACTGACTCGGCCAAAAGGGATGCAGACATTCAGCACCAAGGGCAGGATTTGGACCCGGACCTTCTGCCTCCCAACCCGAGTTCTTTACACCACACTGGTTATTTCTGAGGACTCGAAAGCGTTTCTCGGGAGTCCCAAGCCGCCGCCCCGACTCTACTTCGGCGCTTCTTGGGGGCGGGCAGCTGTGACATTCCCGGAATCCGCCAGAAGGAGCCGGGAAAGGGCGTGGCGGCCGCCCTGCCCTTACCTAAGATGGCGGCAGGCGGCCGCGCGCCGCTTCCGGCCACGTGACGGGCGCTCCGCCTTCGGGCGGGGCGGCAGAGCCGGGGCGCCTGCGCGGCGCGCCTGCGCGCTGCCCAGGGGGAGGTGCCGCCGCCGCCGCCGCTGCTGCTGCCCCTGCCGCCGCCGCGGGGCTGCCAGCGCTGACGGGAGCGGAGCCGTCGGAGCGGAAGCGCCGCCGCCGCCGCCGCTGTCGGGCGCCCGAGGCGGGAGCCATGTCGAAGCGGCTGCGGAGCAGCGAGGTGTGCGCCGACTGCAGCGGCCCCGGTGAGTGAGCGGCCCGGGTGGGCCGGGCGAGGGGCGCCGCCTCCGGCCCGTCCGGCGGCGCCCCCCGGGGCAGCCGCGGGGAGGCGGGAAACGAGCGGCGGCTGGGCCCGGCCCGGGCGGAGCCCGCGGCAGGTGTCAGCCGAGGGACCCCGGCGTCCGCGTCCCCGCCGGGCCGGGCCGGGAGCCGCAGGGCCGAAGGGACCGGAGGGACCGATCCCCGGGGGGAAACTGAGGCCCGGAGGGGGCGGGATGGCCGGATCTCGGAGCCAGAGCTGGGAGGGTCCGAGGAGGCCGCTTAGCTCATCCCCCATGTTGTGGAGGGGGACTCTGGGGCCCCTAGGGCTGGGTAGGGCGGCGAGCACTTATTAAGCGCCTTCTATATGCCAGGGCTCGCGCTGAGGGCCTTGGGATGTAGACTAGAGCAGGAAGGGGAAACTGAGGCTGGGGAGGCGAGCTGTGCAGGCCTCTTTCCCTGCAGGACAGGGAACAAGCGTCCGGAGAAGCCAGAGGGAAGTGGGGGGCTGGGGAGGTCCTGGGCTCCAGCACCCCTACTTTGAGTGGCTGGCACCATCTGGTGTGGCGCCCTGCTCTCCCTGCAGATGGGGAAACTGAGCCAGGAGGGACCCTGAGGTCACCCAGGCCAAATCCCCTCACTCTACAGATGGGGAAACTGAGCCAGGAGGTCACCCAGGCCGAATCCCCTCACTCTACAGATGGGGAAACTGAGCCAGGAGGTCACCCAGGCCGAATCCCCTCTCTTTACAATGGAAAAGACCTTAGGGGTCATTTTGGCCAGGGGTACTCGAGCTGGGGCTGAGGATCCCTGAGTGTCCGGGGATAAATTTCAGAGAATCTTGTGAACGTGGATGGGAACAATTACATCTTTATTTTCACTCCCCTCTTAACTAAAATGCTGCATTTCTTTCAGTCGTTTAGAAACCTTCTGAGGAGGTGTCTCTCGGCCTCCCTGGGCCCCCCCCCCCCCAGGAATCTAGAGCACGAGAAGGATGAGAACTCACATCTCCTCCAGCCCCCTCCATGCGCACTGAGGGACCTTCCAAGTGCAGGCTTCTACTCCCTTACTTGACTGATGCTACCAAGAACCTCAGAGGTCCCCTTATTTTACAAGGGGCCGTTGAGGAAAAGTGGCCTGGCCTTTGGTGCCGGCAGCCCTGCCCAGGCAGTAGACTCTGTGGAGAGGTCCGAGCAGCTTCTCTTTTCTGTCATTTCCAGCCAACAGTCAAATAGGCTGCCCATTTTACAAATGAGGAAACTGAGGTACCTTGACCCAAGGGATGTGTTAGCCCAGGAGTTTGAATCAGGTGTTTGGCTTATGATCCAGGGCTCCTTTCACTTTATCTTCAATGAATCAACAGATTTTTATGAAGTGCGTCTTCTGTGCCAGGCCCGGTGCTAGGTGCCAGGGATCCTGAGTTCTGGCATCCTCTGGGAAAGTGACTTCATCACCTCACAAATGGGTCTAATCCAGCCTTGACATCTTAGGATCGGCTGGCGCTGGGGTTATTTACCTCATTCGCGTTCTGAGCCACCCAGATAGACAGGAGAGAGAAAGATGGGCTCGTCAGTTATGAGAGCTTATTTTCTTAAGATGTGTTTTTTGTATTTATTAGTTTGTTAGCTGTCATTGCCTTCTGGGCTCGTGAGGTTCTCAGAGCTTGTGGGGTTTTCTTTTCATCACTGTATGAGGGTCACCTGTTTATTTTAAAATAAGTTTTGTGTTGTTCAGTTGTTTTTCAGTTGTGACCCACTCTCCGTGACCTCATTGGGGGTTTTCTTGGCAGAGATACTGGAGTGATTTGCTTTTTCCTTCCCAGCTTTACAGATGAGGAAGCTGAGGCAAACAGGATTAAATGACTTGCCCAGGGTCTCACATCTCGTAAGTGTCTGAGGCCAGATTTGAACTCAGGAGGATTCACTGCCTTTAAAATAAGTTAGATGTATTCAACTTTTTCCTTCACTAGACCAACCTGTATCTCTCCTCACTTGCTCAGCCAGAGTCCTAGGGAAAAAACTGTTTCTAGTGGTTGCCTCGGATTCCTCATCTCTCATCCCTTGTCCCCTTGCAGCCTGGCTGCTGACCTCATCACCCAAATGAAATTGTGGTCTCCAGCGCTATCAGTTATCTCTGAATTGCCAGATCTGATGGTCTTTTCTCCGGCTGCATTTGATAGCCCTGACCTCACTGTCCTGCCTCTCCTCCCTGCCTGCCCATCCCTCACGCCCTCATCGGGCATTTCCTCCCAGGCTCTGACCTGGGCCCTCTTCCTCCCTTGGTGCTTTCTGTCTGGGTGATCTTATCCACTCCATTATCATCTCCAAGCACATGACTCCCAGATCTGTCCCGGCAGCCCCAGGGCCACCTCTCCTCCTGCCTCTGGGATCTCAGACTCAGCCTGTCCAGACAACTCAGTCTTGATCCTGGAACTGGCCTTTCCTAGGCACCAACGTCCCTGCTTCTTTCTTCGTTATTCTGGTGTCCAGGTACAAAGCTCCTCATCTGTCATGTCCAGTCAGTGGCCACATCTTCTGGTTCTCCAGCCTAAAGTGCAGGGTGAACTCTCAGATTCCCTAGTCTGTAAGCTCCAGGGGCTCTCTGCTGCCTTGAGGATAAGATACAAACTTAGTCTGGCTTCTGAAACTCTTCTCCAGCTGGCCGTGGCCCACCTTCCCAGCCTCCTCTAGTGTTCCTTTCCCCGTCCTTGGCGTTCTGGCCAGCCTGGCTGGTCCCCTCCATGCCCGGGACGCCTTCCCTGGGCCCCAGAGAAGCCCTTATTTCAACACTCCCTTCAAGCACCACCTTCTGTAGTAGTCTCGTTTAGTTTTTATTCTGGATATAGTCATCTATATACACATGTCTGTGCATGTATGTGTGTGCATACATGTTTGTGTATGTGTGCATACACAAACATACATGTTTATGTGTGCGTATACATGCTCACACACACACACGTACATTGTCTCTCCCAATAGAATGTAAGTTCAAAGGGCAGGGGGATTCTTTGCTCTTTGTCTTGGTGTGTCCGGTACGCGCAGGTCCTTACTTGTAGTAGATGCTTGATAGATTCTTGTTGATTGACTAACTGACCTCATCGATGGATGCGGTGAAGTGGGATCGTAGGAATTACAGGATTTAAATTTGGAGGGGGCATAAGGGGCCATTTCAAAAGTAAAGAAAGTAAGGCCCCAGCTAAATAATTTGATGGAAATTTCACATTTGGAAGCAGCCAAGCCGGAATTTGAACCCTGATCTTCTGATTCTTCACCGAGGCCTCCTTGTTGGCCTCTCTGTCAGCCTTCCCCCTGCAGTCCTTTCTTTGGAGAGGGCGAGAACACTCCTATCCATGAGGGAAATCTGCCGTTTAGAATTCACGTCATCTTCCATTTGACTTTGCATGGAGAAGTGGCTCCGTCTGCCTTTGGGATGAGGTTGCTGTTAGCTGTTTCCCGTCCTCATCCCCTTCTGAGGCAGGAGACTCAGGGTGGACTCTGGAGCCCCGTCCTCTCTGAAATAAGGATTTTCCATGGAATCGTTGGACATCAGTGTTTCTGCACCCATTTTTAGAACGTCATTCTTGTCGTGTTGAAGCTTGGCCTGAGCTTTAAAATGGGACTGAGTTAACCAAAACCTCATGTGGCAGCGTGAGTGCACGTCTAGGACAAGCAGGGTTATCCTTCCCTTTGAAGAGAGGGAGGGAAGGAGAGGCCAAGTTTTAAAAACAGCTGTTGCAAGAACTAGATGAGATTGGGTCCAGGAAGTGCATCTGACCGAGAATATCTTTATTCTCTGAAATTACAATTCTCTGAGTTTAACTTTCCACATTGCTTGTCTCTCCTTTCGCTTGGACTGAAGAGATGTGTGATTCAGATAAGTCTTGGGCCCAGCTCTCCCCTTTATTTCTGTGAGTCTTTTTTGACTCCCCAAAAGATTTTTTTGGCCAAAGAAAGATTGCTTCCCCAGCCCCAGGATGAGTGCAGACCCGGCCTTGTCCTCTCTGGGGCATTTCTCTGCTTTTCAAAGCCTCCTCATATCCATTGTTGCTGTAGGCCTGATCTGCGGGGCCTTGAGTCACTTCCTTCCTGTTTTGAGTATACTTAGAATACCTTGAAATGTGTGGTGAACTTGTGGACCTGGAGATTTGGTTTCTTTTCCTGCCGACGGGACCCAGAAGACTTTGAGTGGCTGCGGTTTAATCTTATTTTTGAGGAGTAACTCAAGTTTCACCTGTTGAAAGAACTGTGGAGACCCTGCCTCATGCCAGTTGACGGCTTAACCAGGGAACCTGTGACCCTCTAGGTCCTCAAGTATGGCCCTTTGACTGAATCCAAACTTCTCAGAACAAATTTGTGACATGTGGCCTCGAGGCTGCTGGCTCCCCACCCCGGCTCAGCCCCTTGACGGCCCATCCTTTCCAAATTAACCCTGGCGTTTTCTAATACTTGTTGGTAGATGATACTGCAGTAGTCAAAGCCCTTTGAGCCGAAACGTAGGGTGCATGGTTTGCACAGACCTGTGTCACTGCATACCTGCCATTAGTCCTACCGTGCAGATGTCTTTCATACAGTCACTGTATCTTGGGATTCCTCGTCTCCCGCACTCGGCAGGTGTAATGACCAAAATAGTATCAGAGATTTGGGCAGTTAACCGCATGGGTAGCTGTTTAGTTTTGATCCCCAATTTCTGGACATATTTTAATATTTTGGCGTTCTAATCAATCATTAAACTTTTATGAAGCGCCTACTGTGTGCCGGGCACTGTGCTAAGTGCTGGGGATACAAAAAGAGGCTAAAAACCATCCCTGCTTCAAGGCGCTTACACTCTAACGGAGGAGACAAACATATATGCCAAGCAAGCTCCATCCAGGATGCACAGGAAATGGTTAGCAGAGGGGAGGCCCTGGAATTAGGAGGTGGGGAAGGCTTCCTGGAGAAGGCCAGTTTTAGCTGGGGCTTTGTTCTAATTACTGTGCCTCGTTCTTGCT